ACAATTGCTTTGAAGTTAAAATAGTATGAAAAAATGGTACGAAGTAAATGGTTAAAAGAAGGGTTTCTTTTTACCACATTTTTATTCTTGAATACGAACATTTTTCCAAGTTTTTTATTTTATTTCTTTATTCATATTTTCAACACTCCTGGCAGCATTTCTATGCAAACACAAACGTATGTACTTAGATACTTTCGTGAACGTATGTAATATAGGGGAGTTCAAGCTTTATGTATCTGATAGTAAAAATTCTGTTGAGGTTGCGCTTTCAATGTTTGCACTGGAAAAATTGCAGAACCTCGGTTGTTATCACAAGAACAACATAAATTTAACTTGCATGCAAGCGCGTATCTGTGGTGTTTTTGATTTGAAAAGTGTGTAAAATAGACGTTAAAAGTGCAGATTTTTCTTGCACTCCTAGGCAGGAGGCATGATGAAAATTGTATTGCCAAAGTCCGGAAATTTAAGTATTTTTATGCAAATTGAATCACTTGCAGTGCGGAAGTAGAAAATTGTTGCTTCAAAGTGATTTGTATTTACCATTAAATATGATTTGCCATACGCAGAATTAAAAAAAAAAGATAAACTAAAAATATTTTAGTACTTGAGTCATTCTTCAGGTGTTTTTAAATATGTTTTTTGTCTGTGATTGAAATATATAGAAAAATAGTTTTGCTCACTACTTGTATTTACTTAATCCAAAGGTTTTGAAGGATTTTTTTCTTTAAAAAGAAATTTATCTAAATTTTTCTTATCAGTCACACAATCTTTTAGTTAGGAACAAATGGTATACTTTTTATGTTTCTAGCTATTTTACATTTTAGGTTTCAAAATATTTTTTTTTCTTTTGCAACATTTCTTTTATTTCATTTATTTTAGCTTACTTTGCAACCAAGTGTAGTGCTGTTGGCCCAGCTCTCGCTTTTATATTTTTACCTTAGTTACACAGTTATCATTAAATAAATGTCGTCAAATCTGGGGCATGCCACATTTACGTACTATTTTTCCCCAACTTGAGTACAGTAATTGTGCAACAGCAGTGCAGTTTAGCAACGCCTCAGCACGACCACATGCAGCGGTGTATCTTTATACTTTGTTACATTAAGCATATGCGCTTGTCACATTTATTTCTATTTTTAGCTGCAGCAGATACTTAAAGTATATTTTTCATTTTCATATAAAAATTTTTAATTTCTAAAAACTTCAACTCTCCCAAATCGAAATAAAGAAAAGTACATATTATTTATTGAATTTATGCTATCTTTAGTTAGTTAAATGTAAAATGAAGTTGTGTTGCATTTGATATATTGCATTTTGCTTGTCAAATGTTTGATATTTATTTAGTACACTTTAGATAAGCCGCAGATTAGTATCGTCTTGTTTTTTATTTTTACTACCATTGTATCAAGGTTTTTAGGTTAACAATCCAATTGCTTTTAAAACATAATCTCTTAGTGGTAAGTGTCGATATGTGTATCTAATTGTCTTAATCTGTTGCTTTTTATTTTTGTTTTAAGATAGCATTTTAGGTATAATATATAAAAACTAATTTTCTATGAACACTTGCTTTACGGGTCAATAAATTCGACAATCATTATAAAAGTTTTCTAATTTACAACAACCAATTGAATTTGAATAATTTTTATAGTTAATACCTTCTGCTTAAAAAGTACTCGGATTTTGTAAATAAAAGACACAAATTTAAATTTTATTCCAAATTTATTTTATCTTTTACAAAATATGTTCCTTCTGAAGCGATACACATATGCCAATGCTTAACTTAATCTTCCATACACTTTTCGTAGGCCCGTGCAGGTATGGCTTTTAGTTCCTTCAGCGAATTCTCTTTTACCGATTCAATCGATTCAATCGACTCAAAACGCTTACCACGAAGGGCTAATTTGAGTTAAGGGAATAGGAAAAAGTCGCACGGATCCAAATCTGACGAATATGGTGCCTGAGCGATGACAGTGGTGCCGTGTTTGGTCAAAAATCGCGTACAACAAGAATTTTCCATATTAAAAATCGCTAAATGCACTTGAGGTAGTTTCACATTAACAGCTGCTCTAAACAAACTAAGTGACAGATGGCGCTCAAATTTGTACCATATGTCAACGGTGTGCAACATACAAAAAAAAAAATTTTCTGAAAGTTTTTACTTTAAGAGTAGTTAACAACAACAAATCCGGATACTGTACCATGAGCAGAAGGTACATAATATAATTTTCAAAGTCAAAGTTCCATAACTCAAACTTGTATAACTTCAATTTTCTATAACTTGAACTAAATAGGGTGCAACAGAATTTATAGAGCAAATTACATACAATTACAAAAAAATTCTTTAACTCAAAGTCATCATAGCTCGAATCTTTCTTTTGCAAAATGGTACTTCAAGTTAAGGAAATTTGACTGTACTTCCATTCAAACCCATAGAAACCGTAGAGTGACTATATTTATTCGTCGGCCAGGTTGATTGTTGGTACAAGTATTTTGGAATGCAATTAATCCAACGAATCCTTTTTGTTTCAACGAAAAACATATTCTCTGAAATGTTAAGAATCGCTTGGAATCGCATAAACGCGATTTGCTAGTTAGAGTTTTTAATCAAACAATTGGTCACTAGTGTCGATAGATTACATACTAAACGCCCATTTATCTTAGCGTGCAAATTATAGCTGATTTGCGATGCACCGAACGTTTTAAAGATTTAATTATTTGTAAATAATTCTACTAAAATTTGTACGAAGGCAACCCTGCTAAATTGAAGTTTTCGATTGGTATTTCTGGA